TGAGAGAAAGAAAATTGCACACTAAGTTTGACTGTTAACTGCTGTGAACAGGGTCTAATAAGGCAAGACACATCAGCTTTTTGATGCAACAGGATATTAAATCCAGGAGAAATCAGATTAAATTGTGTCTGTATTTTGATTTAAATATATGTATTCATCTCAAACCATCCAGTGTAAGTGGTATGGTGACCTTGTCAGCTGCAAATACTGTATGTTACATCTGGGATTCATGTAGTTACTGCAGGTGCTGGGGATGTTTTTTTGTTGATTTTGTTCTTCAGACAGGGTTTTCCAGCTGGCTGGCCTAATTCTGCCTGAGTATTTTACCTCAGGTTACCTCTCAAAGTCAAATGGGCAATATCAGTCTGAACAATTCTTCCTTCTCATTGAACTCTGATTTGGAGTCAGCCATTTTTGCCAATAGAGAATCTATAACATACAAAGTATCTTCACTCTCTTCATCACTGCTGTGATGTCTCTGTATCATGGCCATGTTAGCTGAGCTGTGTTGAAGACAAATCTCTGTGCTCCAGGAGGAAACTGGCTGAGTCAGGAAGGAAACAAGGTGTTTGCTTTTCACCTGGGTTAGTCGGTACAGGATCATAAATCTAATTGTGAAAGTATTGGGGCAAGTGGGCGGTGGGACGGGCTCATGGTTAGTGGAACGATCATGTGGCTCACAGTTTTTAAACCCTGCAGCGAGATAAACATGTTCAAGGCTGCTCTCTTACTGAGAGGTTAAAGACAATTTGGAAAATCTTAATCCAATCATCACAAAAACAATGATGCATCATGACACACGACGCCAAACAAATAATAGTTAGCAGACAGTATTTGTACTGCAAAGAACTTCTTGTCGACAGACACCACAAAATTAATATAAATAAATCCAAAATACACCTTGTACATTAGTAAAAAGATACCCCAAAGGATCTAACAGACACATCATTTCCATCATGTGATTTTCCCTAAGCTACATAAAAGTCCATAAATGACTGATGAAACTCTTAGAAATATAACACTCTGGAGAAGCCAAAATGAATACAAATTAGTCTATCTTGTCTTCTTTGAGAAGTTAGCCAACTTAAACACATCCAAATTAAACAACCATTTCCATTTTTCATTGTCTTGTACATCAGAATATTTCACTCTTCAATCGTCAACAAAAAACAAACCTAAGTCTGATAATAATAATAAAAAAACCCCGCCTTAAATCTTGAGGAGTAAAGAGGAAGAGGACTAACCGTTGACTCTGTCAGAGCCCTAAGACTTTTTAAAATCTAAAGAAATCAAATGGTTTGTTAAAAGAATACTGCAACAGCCAAATGATCTTTGAATAAAAATTACTCACCCTGTGTTATGTTGAAATTGTTTTGTTTATCTCACATAAACAATGAATGCAACTCTTACATGACTCCTGCAATATAATCAAAGTCTTATTTATCCATTCATATGCTCAGTCCCTCCCAGACAAACACCACTTTCCGACAGGGAACTGAATCAATAAGTTTGCATTATTTCATGATTTTGGTGTTTAAAAGGGTTAATTCAGATTCACCAACGTCACACAATAACACAAACAACAGATCAAGGCAGTCGTAGACCAGAAGCTCCTGCGTTCAGTGAGGAAAAATGTATTTTTGTCAATGGAGTCTGGATTCGAAGAGGGAATAGATAAGTTACACCTTCCGTTCAGTTGTTGGAAAGGGCTGTTTGTGTGAAAAGTACTAAGCACATGTAACCGGGTGGTTATTTACAGTGTATATATTGTATTTCTTTACTGTGTCCCTCAGTCTGTTTATGTTGCAGCAGGCATGGCGATCGCGGCAGGTGTGTGTCACGCCCCTTACCGGCACCTGTAGTGCAGCCGCATTATTGGCTGCTAATGCGGACCTGTTCATATACCCCCCGCTGTCGTTTAGTTGCCCTCTCTCCCCTGCTGAAGCAAGTGCTGCCTGGTGTGCAGCTCCGCCGAACCGTGGTTTCCCGGCGTAGTATGTGCCGTGTGTTCGTTCTCCAGGTATGTGTAGCACAGTCTTATGATGCTGTGAAGATGTTATAAGGTGCCATGTTGACAGTTCTCTGTTCCAGGTTGGCGTGTTGAGCCGAGGTGTGTGTGTGTGTCCCCTTCCGGTTAGCCGCCGCTGCCGCCGTTAGCTTCCAACAGCTAGATTATTGATTTGTGCAGGCTACAGCTGACCACGCAGGTAAACAGTGCCACAGGCCCAATGTTATTTTGTCTGCTAGTGCTTATGTAGCTTCTGTATTGGTTATTAACGCTCACTCTGTATCTCTTTTAAAGTTTGCCTGGCGTTAGGCTGCTGTTTTGCCCTGCCTTGCCTCTTACCTCCAAAGTTTGTTTTCTTTTTGTTTTGCCTGGCTCACTCAGACAGCCGCTCTGCCGCTCTGCCTCCGTCGTTTAGACGCCCTTTTCTTTAAAGTAGTGTATTGTAGTTCAAGACTGACCTCATACCGTGACTCCGTAGTGGGGGGTGGGAAGTTAACACAGCATTGAGGACCTGCTAAATTTATGCATGTAGCATGTTTATTTTTGTTTTTCTTTCGTTTTGATTTGAGTTTGCAGTTATTTTGTATATAGATATTTTGTTTGGTTTCTTTTCTTTCTTTTTGTTTATTTGCGCAGTTGACCTCAAAAACAGCTAAAGTGTGTTAAGTGACTCTCTCTTTCTAACTTAACTTTTGAGTCACTGTACAGATTAATATTGTACCCTTTGGAAATAAAAAGAACTATATAACTTTTTTTAAAAAGAGAAATAACTTAATAAAGAAATTATTTTATTGTGAGTAATAAAACTTGTTAAACTTCTTACATCGTGCCTGTATTCATTTGTGTAACTTACCTGTGTATGGGTGATTTTTGGGAAACCCTCTGAGAAATTAAAGCGAAAAGTAGATTCTTTAGGTGCAAGTCCTAAGGTGGCGTTGTTGGTGCTAATTCTCCAGATCTGCCTCTCGCAGTTCAACTGGTATTGCCACACACACAACTGGATAACTGAGACTTGGATTATGCCGCACAAATTGTGTGAGGGTTCTGATGTTTTGGTATAGTTTTGCTTCAGTTTCTGTTTACTCCAATTCATTAAAAAATTTCACCATTGTTGGATTCTTTGTTCACAGTGGAGGCATGCAAGAAAAACTGTAATTTTCTTCACAAATTCAACTTAACATGTGTAAGTGAGTTATCGATATACAAATGATCATTTAGGGAGTAAGGTATTCCTTTGAGCACTTGAACAATTAAACAACTACTTCCATTTTTTCATCGTCCTTAACACCAGAATATTTCATGGTGTTGTTGAGACATTTCATGTAAGACTTATGCTCTTTACTTATCAAAAAGAAAAACTAAACTTAAGTCTGATTAAAAAAAACAAACAAACTTAAAACCTGCTTTCTTTTGCTGTTAAATTCGTAGATGTTAAAAGGGGACTTACTGTTGACTGTGTGTTGGAAAAAAAAAGAAAACAAAACAAGAGACTTTTTTTTGTTTCCTAATCATCACCTCTGTCTTATCTCGCTCAGGATTTTATTTGTTGATCTGATCAAACTTGGTAAGTAGGGCTAACATCATTGTGTTATATGCAGATATAAAGCTGCATGTCATCTGCATAGAACAGAAATAAATGTTCTTTTGTTCTTGCAGTTCTTTTACCACAAATAGAAGATAATACATCATTGGCTATTTTAGATCTTCAGGGATTTAATTCCTGGGATTTCATTGGCTGTTGGTTGCCGAATAGTACTCTGGTGTTCCCCCAGCCTTTTTTTCTCCTATGTCTCTGCCATGCTAGCTGTGCAAAATTGGGGCTAAGACAAATATGCATGCTCCAGGAGGGAAACTGGCTGAGTCAGGAAGGAAACAAGGTTTTTGCCTTTCACCTGAGTTCATCAGTACCGGATCATAAATCTCATTATGAAAGTATTGGGGCAAGTGGGTGGTGGGATGGGCTCATCATTAGTGGAAACCATGTGCATACAGCTTCAAAACATTTAAAGATCTGCAAACTTGCACACTCATTGCAATGAAGGAAGGAAAGAAGGAGGTGAAATAGTCTGAGTGATGACCTGTTCTGATTTTAAGAGAGTTTTGCTTGCAGTATAAATGCAACATGACCAGCCCAGTTACCAAAAGAAAACCTTGGCGCTTATGCAAATAATAGATATGTTAGATTATATTAACATTTCTTAAATGAGGTAACATATGAGCTGACTATCTCTGGGAGGTGGAGGGGATGGTGGATGGGATGACACCAAGGTGAGATGGCTGCCAAACTGCAGACCACTGTTCAAGACCAAGAAACAAAACAACTGGTTGTTTTTTGGCAAGTCACTACTGTGTTCCCAGTTGCTTTCATCTACCAGATATGGATGATTTTGGCCGCCTGTCACAGTTTTGTGGCACAAAAAAGTGGTTGTTTTATTTACCAAGTCATTGTTGCGTTTCCCGTTAGGATAGTGCCATAACAGTGGTTGCTTTTTACTGAGACATTGCTGTGTTTCCAGTTGGGATAGTGCAAAAAAACCTGACTATTTCAAGCCAAAATATGATCTTTACCTAACCATAAGCAAGTGCTTTTTGTACCTACACCTATCCACACATTAACCGTCTTCAGGGTTGTGAAAAGGCAAAGAAACGTTTCTGCAACATGATAACATACAATAAAATATGACATATCTGTGGTTTGTATAAAAGTACAATGCCGACACTCATTCTGATGCCTGAATTGACATAACTATAGAACCTGTCTGGTGTAAAATACCATCTTTGTTAGCAAAATTTGATTTTACGTATGATTAGCACATTAACAATTCCGTAATAACACATCTAATAACAATAATA